TTGTTAAATGTTAAATGTTACATTGTGACACGGGGTTATGACACTCGGTCCGGGGGCTGCCTCCCCTACCCGTACCTGGTAACGTTCATGATAAAGATAAGTAAAATGTAAAGGATGAGAACATCAGAATGACTTTGTGATTATTGAGGTTCACTGGTTCTAATTTAATATCTCAAAAGTAGATACAGTTACATTGTTGTACTGTGTTTTTTGAGCAAATAAATTATCATTATTATTAAATTTGGTTATAATTAGGCACTGAATATGACACAAGTAAATAAATAATAATAAATACATTATAATAATAATATTTCAGTACATGTATAATTCACACAGCGCCATCTAGTCCCAAGCTAAATAGAGCTTGTGTTATGAGTACTAGACAACTGATATGAATACATACAGTTTTTTGTAAACATACATAATATATACATAGAAAACACAAAAAACCAAATAGATACATTCAAATTCATGAGTACAAATGTTTGTACCGTGCGAGGAATGAAACCCACGATCATCAGAAGTAAAGCGGTGCCGCGGTGTGCTAAACAGCTAGACCACCGCTTGTCAGGAGGCTGTAAATATTTTAATGCTACGACAATAATATTCTTAGTTGAGTCTACTGAACTACTTCGAGGCCACAGTCAGTAGTTGTCCGATTGTTCTATACACAATCGTTACTAATATTATAATTAGTTAAAGCCGACACCATATCAGAACATCTTCACTGACTCTACATTCTGACATACCTACTTTTCTTACATTTATTCAAATTTAAACAAATTTTTTAACAGTTTAATATTCAGTTAAATACAATATATCCCTACCTATTATTACATTTTACTAGTGGTGTGGGTTATATATTATTTTTTAATATTAATTAAATGTGTTGTTATATCGAAACTTAGCATGTCTAAATGCATAAAAAACACAACGAACAGAATCTACATGGTATAATATTAATGTTTTTTGACTTAAGATACCATTTTTAACCCCCGACATAAATAATAGTGGGGTGTCATAAGTTAGACATGTCGTTATGTCTGTCTATTGCGTCGTAGCTTCTAAAAGAAAGTGTCGATTATGATGCGTTTCATTCGTTTGATATCTAAAAACTATCTCGATTATGTCAACACATGATTCAAATAATTTGAATTTTGTAATTGTTGTTACCTAATAAACAACACTATTATGTATATTTTAATTAGAGATACTCATTTTTAAATACCTAAAAATTTTGTTATTATATATATTCCTAAGGCAATATGGTCACCAGCGGAAAGACTGATTAAGCCGATGTCATAGATAATATGTTGGAAAAATAAAAATAGAAAGTATTGTTTCATAGTTCCTGAATTAATGCTCAATTTGATGAAACCTATAGTCGGTCCCATGGTGTAATGGTTAGCACTCTGGACTCTGAATCCAGCGATCCGAGTTCAAATCTCGGTGGGACCTGTCCTTTTGTGTTTCATTATTGTGGTCTAAAAAATAATACTGTATACTTTTATTCTTATAGATATGATTACCATTAATGTAATACAACTTAATTATAAAATTAACTTTTAGGAACTATAATTAAAATATAATATTTATAATATATATATATATATATATATTGACATTGATTACCTTAATAATTTACATAAACAGATATACCGAGTTCTTGTATATTAATAATACAACAGTTTTAAGTAATTTGAATATAGGTACTTCAAAAATTCCTTCATGAATACGAAGAAAATTTACCGTTACTGGTACGTACATGAGGGTACACGACACAAACATATAATTAAAAACAAAATACAAATTAGGTGCATCCATCCTTAGCATGAACAGTATTTTTTAATTTGAATGCCGATTCGTCGTAGTCAGAAGCGGAGGGCAGACCAGAGAAGACATGTAATGCAGTTTGGTGCGTTCAACGGCCTCATTACACAACAACCCGTAGCAATCTGCAATTATATGCCGGATGTGTGGTCGCAAAATAAGAAATAATTATAATCACTGCACTCTGAGACCAATTTGGGAGATCATATTAATTCAACCACCAATAATTGCGAACAACTAGCGTTTCCATATTGTACTAGGATAGATTGATAGATAGGGACAAATATCAGCCCACAACTCCGAATACATTTTCTGTTCCAAATTATAACGTTATCACATTATTACTATTAGATGATATGTTAAGACGTCAAGATATAAGAAATAATAATAATTAACTGTCGTATTGAAAGAATGCAGCAAATTATAAGTAATCAAAACATATATATTGGTTTTTCTCTCGAGAGAATAAAAATAGCTGTAGATTAACTGTAAAATATGCTTAAGTATTAAAACAATTCTATACATATGCTATATATATAATGAAAATTTTTCTCATATCGTATAATTATCGTTTCTCATAACATGTTTTGTAACAAAGAAAACAATTTTTTTTAAAAACATGCCTGGTTTTTGGAATCTGTGTATATTCAAAATTATTAGGCAACAATTTGTAAACTACATATATTAAATAAACCTTTATGTAATTATCGTTTACTAAAGACTATATTAAATAATTATATAATTGACATAATAGCACTTTTGTAGATATAAGCCTGCTCCCTTTTTCAGAGAGTTTGAAAATTTTAAAGTGGCCAGATCGTTTCTCCAAGCCAGAATTTCTTCATTCCTAAGTTGATAAAAATACCAAGCTTTTTATAGAGCTCCCACTGAAACGGCATAATTATTCGAATTAAAAAATTACTATCAACATGTTGACTCATACCATTAGTTAAGGAATTTTTGGATTTTTCTGGAAACGATTCGTGGACGCACATTCACGTGATTTTCTTTGTTATGACAAGCAATTGAAAAAAATATCTGTTTAAACGTCTTGCAAAAGTGGTCTTAAATATTAATTCTAAATGAAGGTACATGTAAACTTATTATTAGGTATTTACAATTTTGTGTTCGTAATCTCGCGGTCCCATGGTGTAATGGTTAGCACTTTGGACTTTGAATCCAACGATCCGAGTTCAAATCTCGGTGGGACCTAAGTATATGATACTTACTTTTAATTTAGACGATATTTTTTAGATTGAATAAAATACCATGTCAAAATTATATAAACTAGCGACCTGACAAGCCATCGCATATATCTTAGTACATTTATACAAAACTTAACAAATTTTACACCTAAATCTTTCTCAGGAAACACATGTTGATATAAGAAAATCGCATGTAAATCCGTTCCGTAGTAGATTATCACATACAGACACGGGGGATGATTTTGTTTTGTAATATACGAGATAAATAAGTTGCGTTCAAAATAACTTCACACTGCAAAAAATGCAAATACGATGTATATTCATATTTGTCTTTATTTAAGTACATATGTATGGTCTTACAAGGCCAGAATGTAACAACAAAGTTGTTCACAACAAGACAACATTCTCAGACGTTTCGACGAGATTGGTTTTTGTCGAGGATGATTAACGGCGTAAAATGACAGTTGAAGCAAGAGGTGAGTGCAGATGGATGGCCCACCGCGGGCAGTTCCCACTGCCCAATTGAGTTTGTTTGTACCGAACCGATAATCAATACCTGCTAACATTGGAATGCTAAATTGTGTGAACTTGTTGTATTGATCATTATATTTGTATTGGATTTGGGTTGGAGCGAAGTACTTTAACCGAAGGGTCCCTAATGTTCCATACAGGTAGTAACTACCCTGATTCACAATTGTGTGTAACTGCAATCTCATTTTTGACCAGATTTAATTGACATGAGAATACGAATTACAAGAAAATAGTTTTAGCAATATTTCACAATATATGTCTATATTCTTTTTTTACAGTTCCATACGATTTGGACTGGTATCTTTAAAAATGCCATTTGACTTTCTTTTATAATGTACGTATATTTATAATTTTATAAAGTATGTATATAATGTAATATCTGTAATTTTCATACATCTATAAAACTATAATATTTCCCTGAAATATTTACGAATCAATAAAATTCTGGTACAATGAAACTTATACCCCAGTAGTTTAATATGATACAGTAACACTCACACAGATTACGAAAAATGCGTAAATAACTACCTAAATGCGTAAGTACTTATATTATTAATAACGTATCTACCTAACATAACCGCAGTCATAGAAAAAATAATTAGTTATTTTCGTTGTTTTGTGTTTGTAAACAATAACCTAACAAATTATCATTCCGTTCCACAATTGTTAATTTTAGTTAGTAATAATAATCATCCATTGAGAGTACTCAACGCGATAATCTTGCGAGCCTTGAGTAGCAGAACAAAAACAAAATTGTCACGTATCCACTGTACAAAATGGATGACGCATATAACAATTTGAATACAAAAAACCTAATACGATGTTGAGGTACAAACGTAATTATTTAACAACGAAGTACCTTTGAATTAATTCATTAATTTAATTAGATCTCAGTTCATAAACGAAGTAGAAAAAATATTCAGTAAATTTTTTATAGGTACAGACCGAAAAAACTTAGTTACCTATATACTTATTCAATTTCGAATGTATATTTTACACACGTCTCTAGATTTTCTTACAAATTTTGTTAACATCGATGTTAGTGTGTACCTATATAATTATTATTTTCATAAAAACTATGTTACTTGATCTACCTAGGTACAAGCTAAAATTAAGAACAATAAAGAAGACATTACTTAATCTGTTAATTATTTATTTTATTAATTTGAAATTGCTGGTCTGCAGTATAATTATTGAGTTAATACAATTATCTCGTAAAAGAAAATACTTTTTCGAGATAACAATTTCAAACTCACGATGTAAAAATTTATTTATACCTCATTCCTAACCTTTGTTCTTTCCATTTTATGTAAACGGCATTCACCACATATCTAATTATTCATTAAAATAATGAGCTATTTAAAATTAATATAATAAATTGTATTATTATTATCTTAATTGTGTTTAAAGTATGTATGTAATTTTAATCCACAGAGTGAATATCGGTTCGCTGGAGGAGGGTATCCTCGGGCGAGCAGCAGTGGCGGTCGAAGCGGCGGGCTGTGCTCCGCGGCGTTGGTCGGCGGCGCCCTGCTCGCTGCTGTGGCTGTATTGGCTGTTGCAGCATTAGCATTCTACATGGGTGCACTTAGGCCTGACAATGGAGAACGTAAGTGTCTTCTTTTATATGAATTTTGAGCGGAAGAAAATTAAACAATAGAAAAAATAAAAGTAATATTTACTATTTAAACAATGAAAAGTGTTTTGTCTAAATTATAAGATATGTTCGTCAAGTCATCATCCATTTTGTTGATTCTTTTTGCAATCAAATCATTTTACTTCTACGTATTAATTTCGTTGCGATTTATGTACATTTTTCTAACCGAAACTATAAGAAACGTATGTGTTACGTTGGACGATATCTTCATTAAATATTTACCATTTTTGCAATTGATAGATTTATTTTAATGCCGGTACCATGCCAATTTAATCCTTAAAGAGTTTTATTTTTTAAACAAAAATATGTAGATAAACATTATGATTATAAGGAAACATATAATATCATGTATATATAATTGATAGTAAGATATACGTCTCTTAAAATAAATTTCTTTTTTGTTTAGCAATGATGTCCTTTGAGGGGACTCTTCGAGTGACCCGGGGAGATGTGTATGGAGGGGCTCCCGGCAGCCCCGCGTGGCGTGAGAGAGCGCGTCGATATGGTGCAGCGCTCCGGCAAGTATATGCGGCGCCGTCACCGTTGCGTCAAGCCTTTGCTGGTGCCCTAGTCACGGGCTTTGGGGACCGACGATTGGATGTACATTTTAAATTATATTTAGATAGAAGAAAAATACCAAGGTAACTTAATAAAAACCACATATTTACCGCTACACACATACCAACCACATATACATATTTGATTACATATTTTACAAGACTAATGTATTTATTTGGTTTTCAGTTCTGTAGCAAATATAGAAGAATCACTTAAGAATATTTTAGTTCAAGATTTAACATCGAAACATCCTGCGTTTGGACAAACTATAAAAGTTGATACCTCGAGTATAGTTATTAAAAGGGATTTAGAACATACTTATCATTCTGAGTCGTACGTAAAAGAAGCTATGAATGAAAGCATGACAACGAGTTATCCAAAACCCTCAGGTTCACAGGTTCCAAAAGACAAGACCCTTCAATCAAGAGTTGGAGTAGTTCGAAAAACTACCATCAAACCAGGAAAGAAAGGAGATCCTGATGAGCCAGATATTGATACGGAAAATATACCTGTTGTACAAGGTTCGTTTCAAATTACAAAGACTGAAGCAGATATAACAGAGAACAAACACAATTCTAGTCCGATAAGACACGATGATAAAAATCATAAAACACAACCTGGCAAAATAAATACAACAACTAGATCACCTCTAACCAAAACATCTAGTAGTAAAATATGGACAACAAAACGTATACCGACAACTACATCAAAACCAAGACCGTTCACAATAACTTCTACATTTAATATAAAAACAAAAACAGAATCAATACCAAAACATGAATCAGATAACAATATTCAAAAATCAGTATTAAGTACTACCACTTCAACTTCAACTACTCCTCCTACTACTACTATTTTGACAACTACAAACAATGTATCCCAAATTTTATTTGATCTTCTCACAAATGAAAACCACTACAAAGATTTACCAAAAATAGATTCACTATTTACCGTCCCTCATGTGGTAGATAATGAACCATGGCGGCCTATTACCAGGCCATATTACGAAACTACCAGTACAGTTCCCCCACAATCAGATATCAATGATCAAAATGCTGAAGATAGAATAGGAGTTGCTGAAGTGGTTGAAGACATATCTGTGTTGGAGAGTATGTTGACTCCAATACCCCCAGTAAAACATCGAGATAGAACTACTCGTAAACCGGAAGGTGTATATAATGTAGATTCTAATTTGAGTGCACACGTTTATGTTCCTAGTCCAGTGTACACAAGTTTTACACTGCCTACATATACGCCTCCACTTAAAAATATGGAAACTTTAGGCTCTGGTTACGTTAAACCTCATCCGATACCTGTAGATAAAATTAGTTCTGTAGTAGAAGTATCACAAGTTGCAAACTTAGATGAAGATGATGGAAAACCGGTTATGAGACCGCCGAAAGAAAAGACAACATTAGCAGTATTAAATGTAATAAAACCTAATGAACAAGATAATAATACCAAAGAAATATCTGTCGATGGAACATCAATACTGAAAAGACATAATATAACTACTGATCCTGTTATAAGCACTACAGCTACTTCTTCATCCAGTTCCACGCCTATTAGTCCACCAAATGTTATTATTACTAGTTCTGAAAGGACAACGGTACATGAAACAGATACTACCAATGCTGAAACTACTGAAACTACTGAAGTAAAGGAAAATATTAATATAAGTTCAACTACATCTTCACAAGAAGAACAAAGTAATAGTACTCTTAAAGAAAATTCAACAAGACGACCTAATAACAAAGTATCCATAATTCCCATCACTGTCGTACCTCATCATACATGGGAATTAATTAATACTTCGGCCAATAATGAAAATGGTACCTATAATAAAATGTCTCCTGAAAAGTATTACAATGATACTCTACAAGCTATAATAACCAAAAATGATGCTCTGTTTCCTAATACAACACCTCGATTTCAAAATAAAATATCAATTTTGAAAAATTTAACGGATATTATTAAGAAATATTCACATAACGCAACGGAGAAACTGAAACAAGAGTCAAATAGATCAGACGTCGAAGAAAGACATAGTCATAATAAAATGACGGGGTCTGTAGAAGTTGTCCCTGATGAAGAACTACTATCACAGGCCACAACAACAGGAGTTATTACATTATTGCCCGCTAAATCCAACCTCGGAGTAAATCGTCCTTTACGACCACGACCAAAAATAAAACCTGAGGTTCAAACTACAGAAGAAAGCTTACGTAGTTTTTTTCATGACCCAGAAAGACAAAAATTAATTCAGGAATTTCACACTGAAAACAATATAGAGATTATGAAATCATCTACTGACTCCTCCGATATTTCCGAAATTGTAATTTCGCCTACTGCGGTAGATGAAAAAGAAATTAAAGAACCATTGACTTTAATAACTGTAACTGATAACATTCAAGTCACTGACATGCCTAACAATATTTCAAGTAAGAACAGGCTTCCCAAATCCAGCGATGATTTAAATTCATCAGTTAATAATAAAAATGTCACATCAAAAAATGAAAATGATACAGAAGTACCTAAAGGTACATATAGAGTATCATACCATGTTACCAGTAGTGTCAGTAGTAAACAGGCAAATAAAACGCTTAACCTTCCTTCTTACGAATTAGCTTTAAAGCCTGATGTAGTACTCGAGATACCACTTAATCAATCCAATACCTTAACTATAGATAAATTGAAACAACTAGCTAACCTAGCCACTATATCAGATTCAAATAACAATACATTATTTCGTTCCCCTAGTGGTGTGATATCAACAAAAGCAATACCTTCCAGTTACACATTAAATCAAGCTGGTTTTAAAATTCTAACAAAAACTTATAATAAAATTCAACCTTCAAAACAAGATGAAAACAGTTTAAATGTACCGGAAAAATCTTATAACAAACCTCAATTTAATAAACACCAGATAGAAAAAGACAATATTTTATATGTGAAAGGTAATAAAATTACTTTTATTTGATATTTCGACTTTCAAAACTAATATAGATAATTGTTATTTTTTATTTATGTCTCCATTTCAGAGGAATGTAACAACACAACGTCATTTCGCTGCAACAGTGGTAGTTGTTTATCACTGACTTCTCGCTGTAACCGATTGCTTGATTGTCCTGACGGAGAAGATGAGCACGCGTGTTCCTGTGCTGACTACTTACGTGCTGAATTCTCACAAGCAAAGATATGTGACGGTGTCGTTGATTGCTGGGATTATTCGGATGAAAATAAATGCGGTATATTTGAAAGCACAATTTTATAGTTGTTACGTGATTGATGCCATTTTTCTAGGTAATTAATAATAGCCGTTGATGTATTTTTCAGATTGGTGTACGGAAGGACAATATGTATGTGCTAATGCTCGTCAGTGTATTGATATGACGAAGGTGTGTGACGGAACTCCTGATTGCCCTCTTGGTGATGATGAAAAAAGCTGTGTTACTCTCGCAGATGAATTAGAAAATAATGAAGTAGTACCGTATAACGAAGAAGGTCAGTGACTTTAATAAAGATATAAAATATTTAAAAAATATGTTCTCAAATATTTTATAAACTGTTAAGTATTTGTGTGAAAACAGAAAAACCGTAATAAATTACGATTAAACTGTTATGAATGTTTTGAAATTTATGAAATTTCCTTAACACTAAAGTTTTAAGTTTAACAACCTTCATTTGAAGCCTTAATTTTTTAACCATTGAAACACCAATTATTTAAAACTTATACCTTATACTTTATATGCTCTTACACATATGACAGTATAATTTCTAATTACAAAATATACCGTTCCTAAGATTTTATTAATCATGGAAAAGTCAATTTCTGTTTTAAAAAAAATGTGGTAAAAAAATGCCAATGCAAAAAAAATCCAATACTAGTATTGGATTTTTTTTTTAGAAATATATATGGGAATAGAAACTATTATGGGACATAGAAATTATTATGGGAATTGGTTAATACACAGAATCGAGATAAAAGCTAATGTTATATTACATATATTGGAAACTTAGTAACATACTTTTAATTCTTCTGTCAGGTTTTGTCATGGTGCGAAAACGCGGTGTCTGGGGTAGACTTTGCGTAGAGAGTTTTGACGATGTTGTGTCGCAAGCACACAGTTCCCTCAAATTGCCGGACCTTGGCAAAGCTGTCTGCCGTGCAATGACATTCCAGTAAGTAGTATCATTTTAGCAATATCTGAATGTGTTGGGTTGTTGTATAATATAATCAACAATCTTATCTTCTATCTCTTTATCTAAGATTCTTATATTATACGTTCTCCATTCCATTGGAACTCCTTTTCATTGGGATGAAACTATGTACATAATATTGGTCAAAAGATGTAAAGCGTAGTAGTTAATAATAGATGACAGCTTCTCTGAAGAGATCCAATTTGAATAATAAAATATGATTATGTTATGATAAAATAATTTTATTATGGTCGTATATATTATGTATACATCTCGCAAACCGTAGCGATGACATGGATGGAAACTTATACTTGTTATTAAGAACACAATATTAAACAAAGAATAGATACTTAGTGAACTCGGCTGTCTTTCATATTCTATAGTTACTTTCTATATATATATACTTTCTATATACTTTCAGTATATTTCAATCTGATCAACTCAATTAAAGAAACTGTTACTGAAATTAATATATTTATACATATGTACTCGTTAATTGACGATTCTGTTGATGGAAACACCGATATCAAAGGAAAAATTAATCGGAAAGACACCGATAGGCTCGCCGCTTGCCAAATTGGATTCAATACTCAGCGAAACATGGGCAATCACAGTATTGACAGTTGATAATGCCTCTAACTACAACATCTAGGATTACAGTCCTGACGATATGAATGTTTTGTAATCATTAATTGAGTTTAAAAATTAACTTTAGCGACTCTCCCTGGGCGCGAGAGGCTCGAGAAGGTCGCAAAGCTAGTTCGATCGGGTATTGGGAAGTGTGGCACAATACAGCCGCACGCGCTTCCGACTCGCGGTTGACGTTCCGCCGAGCTAGTTGCGCACGCAAGCGGGCGCTGCGCGTGCGATGCAAAGACCTCGATTGTGGCATCAGGCCACATGCCGATGCTCAGCAACCAAGGTGATTATTATATTTATAGAATCTTTGACATACCTACTCATTTTATTGATACTATCCATCATCCATCTATAATGGCTAAATGCTATAAAACTTTTTCGTGTTTACCAGATAAAAGATTCTAATATAATGTAATAAATATGTTTTTATGTAATTGAAATGCAAATGGTAAATAAGTGGTCACTGTTGTCTATATCACATACATGAATTACGAACTACAATCATGCCTCACGCATATCACAACATACCATTTTGTTGCCTCTCTAAAGGACTAATATATCATGCCTGTAATTTTACTGCCTTATCTCGACCCTTCAACAGAAACACAACTTTCAAACCAAACTGCTTGGCAACTAAAATAGACGAGACTGCGGTACCTACTCTGACAGACGAGTATATACAAAGTGTATCTTAGTAAGTATCATATTGACAATATGGAAATGCTCAAATATTTTAGTTTAGCTACTGTTTTATTGGACAGTATTTGGATGGAGTTCAAAAATACTAAAAATATTAGAGCCCACTAGGGTCGCCCACCCTATAAAACACATGGCTAAACCGCCATGAGTGCATTTAGCCACACAATTTTAGTTTTCCTGATGGGAGTTTTACCTGAAATCTGCCCTTGGAGTAAGTAGATTTTATATTAGGATGGCGTTTTATAGATATTCATAGAATATATTTTAAAATTCCCATGGAGCTGAAGTAGTGATATGATGAAGCAGTTTGACCTCTTCGTTTGTGGGGTCTTTAGGAATATATCTAAAGTGGGCATGCGTGTGCGCTGGAGCAGGGTGGTGGGCGGCGGTGGAGCGGCCGCTGGAGCTTGGCCGTGGCAGGCTGCGCTGTATCGCGATGGGGACTTCCAGTGTGGCGGCACCCTTATCTCCGAACAGTGGCTGATTTCCGCAAGTCATTGCTTTTACCAGTGAGTATAGTTGGATTTATAAACGAAATGGAACGAAATTCGAATGTTCCTCTATATATAAGCTATAATTATTCCTATTTCGTCTTATAAAACGATCTTTCAAAAAATGGCCTTGTTACATTTTTACATGCAAAATAAATGCTTATAAAAAATGTAAATTAGCCACAAGCATCTTCTTATTCAATACTTTTTTATCGCTTTCACTTTTTTACAACATTATCAAGATTATATTGGCACACATGTTCATTCTAAAGTAAACTTTGTGTAGGTATCTTAAAAAAATATTCAAAGTTATTAAAACTGCTTGTTGATTCCTAATTAACTACCAGTAACAATCAGTAAATTGAACATTCACATTTTGTTTTGGATCATCTAGTAAAATGTATTCTAAATTTAATCAGTAAAGTTTTTAAATCACTATACATCCATAACAAATTGCATATTAATTTATGGCTGCAATAGTAACTAACGCTTATTTGTTATCTACCAATTTTAGAGCCACGGAAGCACACTGGGTAGCGCGTCTGGGCGCTTTGCGACGTGGTGCATGGCCCCGTGGTCCCTGGGAGCGCGTGGCACGCATACGACAAGTCATCCTTCATCCACGATACGCCCCACACGGATTCCGAAACGATATAGCGATGCTCAGAATGGACCCACTGTCTCTACACGCCAGACTGCGACCCGCATGTTTACCGCCGCTTCGAGCCCAACCTCCGGCCGGTCAACATTGTACTGTCGTTGGATGGGGACAATTGTATGAGCATGAAAGAGTTTTTCGTAAGTGCTCACTTGATTTTTCAATTTATTTATTTCCAATACAATCAAAAGTATATTAACTGATACTATGTAGAAGAAGTACCTACTTCTGTATTTGCTAACTATGTATAGGAAAATGTCAACATGATGTTGCATCACTAATACATATATTCCCCTTGTAACATTTTTATTGCTCTAATTGTGGACACTTAGTTGGATGTTTTTACCTACGTTATTTTCAAATCAAGTTACGGCTTCTCTAAATATATTATAGTCATATTTTTTACCTATATTATACTTAGTCGTACATATAATAATTTTACATATACAGCGGATACTCTGCAAGAGGTGGAATTACCGGTGATTTCAACAGCGGAGTGCCGTCGACGCACACGACTTTTGCCTCTGTACCGTGTTACTGAAGATATGTTCTGCGCCGGCTACGAGCGCGGCGGACGAGACGCCTGTCTCGGTGACTCCGGCGGACCTCTCATGTGTCAGGTACTATGTCTCATGTCTATTATCGTGAACATCGTTAGTTGTAATATATCTCGTAAGAAGCTAAATTATTTATTGTGAACTATAATATACTGCCTTCAATTTAAAATATTAACTGTCTATAGTGTTATACGGCATCTAATTGAAATGGTAAGACAGTCCACCGTATGTACAATATTATTAGGTGTTCAATTTACGTAATCATTTTACAGTAGTAGGTATTTTACCACCTCTAAACTAGTGTAAGCGTTAAAGCAAATAAGATTGTAGCTACAATTGTAGTTTATTGTTTCAAATTTCTGCTGCAATGAAATTGTAGGTATTCCATAACAAATTACATTGTAGGTACAAATTTAGTGTTCAATAACTCAGAAAATATTATAATGATTTCATTAAAACTTTACATACTTCGCCGACTGCTGGTTTGTCATGTAAATAAGGCCCTAAAATTAATACAAACTGGGATCTATTATATAAATCTAGCAGGGATTACGCATCATATTAGTTGTTTTGGGATTCGCAGTTCCCTAATTGACGGAATTCTAGTTTACAAACTGTCAATTAGAACTTTCAACCTCCTCCAAACTGGAGCAGAGTTAAATTCTATTGTATTTCTTTATATTTCTGTTACGAAACACCTTTCTTGGAAATTATTTTGTTTTAACAGAATACTAATTCTGTTTGTGTTAAGCCGAGGCGCTTTTTGTAGAGAAAAAAATGATAATTATAAATAATAAATAATCTCTGTACAATTCACACAGCGCCATCTAGATCCAAATTAAGCTACCTAAAGCTTGTGTTATGGGTACTTGACAACTGATACAAATACATAGATATGTTTTTTTTTTCGTAAATACATACATATTATACATAGAAAATACCCAGACCGATACAAACAATCATACTCATGAATACAAATGTTTGTGCCGTGCGAGGAATCGAACCGCGACCATCGGACGTAAAGCGGTGTGGTTGACCGCTAGACCACCGAGGTCGTCAGAATAATTATACTAATACATATTAATATATATATATATATATATATTCCAGGAGTCGGATAGGTGGTACATATACGGAGTTACCAGTAATGGGTACGGATGCGCGCGCGCCAATCGACCGGGCGTCTACACCAAAGTATCCAACTATATAGAATGGATAGACGACGTAATGGCCGCTTATACTGTCCACCGTAATCATAGCAGCCCGTCCGTCGAATACGAAATCGACGAAGACTTCTATGCGGATTTAGAAGCAGCCGAAAACAAGCGACCCTTAAGGAGAGACACGTGTAAAGGATTTAGGTGTCCTCTCGGAGAATGTCTGCCGGCATCGAGTGTTTGCAACGGATTCTTGGAATGCTCCGATGGCAGCGACGAATGGCAGTGCAACAGGGCTGTAGAGAACAGCTCTAGTACGCACGCCCCCGACTAACCATTATATTTATTCTATATATTTTAAATTATTATAAGCCAGTACTTAGTTTTTAGAGTACTTTTTCTAAATTCGACTGATATCTTGTAAGTAGATATAAGTAATAAATCTCAACTGGACTTTAATTTATAACACGAGATGAAAATGTTATCACACGGAAGCTCAATGAAATATTTTGCTGAAACAATCCATGCCATATCTGCAATTTGGGCTGTTTTGTATATATAGCTATTATTTGCGCCCAGTATTTTGTTTTACCACTGAACGTTTACTGATAATAAAAATATTTATTGAGTTTTATGACATACCTTTTTCGTTCGAACAAGTTTAAATAAATTATTCGAATGGACGACGTATGCCATGAATTATTAAAATAAAAATGTAACATATTCTTAAAATATTGTCTTATTCATTAAAAGTACCTGTCCTATAAATTTTGTTAAAACATAAATATCAACTGCTATTTCAGATGATACAAAGCGTTCAATGAGAATTTTTTGCAGACGATAGCTATGATCGTTCGATGCAGTCCAATTCAAACTAATCGGCTTCTTAATACTTTTAAAACTAGTTGACCTAACGTGACTTTGCCCAGTATTAATTATGAATATTGACTCTGTGCATTCTACATAGTAAACAAATTATTATTTAATGTTTGCCTACTATGCAGAATGCTTTACGACCAACGAACGACTTTACGAAACATAACGACCAACTTTTCTAATGTTCCACTAAATTATCTTATTTTTTTATTTCATCAGAACCTTTTATTACAATAACAAATACAACAAAAATAATTAGAGAAACGGGTCCAGTCGATGCCGTGATCAAGGCAAAAAGGGATTTTTTGCTATATATATAATTATTTATAAACAATTACTCAAAGGTAGGTGAAAGTATAAATTATAATCACAAAAAGATTTGAAAATTATTTTAATCCTTCGACAAATAAATTAACAAAATGCAAACTTGTAGGTAATACAATATTCTTCCAAATAAGAATAGCAATAATAAATAAATAAAATTATTGTACGCGACGACACAATTATATTATTAACGGAATACAAAATTATACTGATTCATATCTTATAATACTTTAATTCAATATTAAGTGATAATAATCATAAATAAGTCTAAAATAATGATAAAATACACAGAGAGAGGAGTAAATAACTAATTGTTAATTAATATAAATTGGAAAGTAGCGTTAGAAAAACGTGATCCTCGAAGACCACTAAAGTCGGGGTTTTAGAATCGCTTAGTCATAAGATAGCGATAGTACAGAATTCTAACTTCCTTTATTCAAAATCGAGACAGTCACACACCTTACATCTAACTTAACTACTCCCGTACCATACGGTACTCCAGCTATCAATACTTTCGTCTATATGTCAAAAATAAAACCTCAAAATACTAGTGTAAGGAACATCTTTACATTACACATAAAGGCCAGTAAATACACGAGTTATAATCTCTACGTCATATTAGCATTAAATCTTTAAATACTACCATCGAGCAAAATGAGCAAGAAATTAAGGTAAAACGTTTTAGATGATAATTTAACATTAGCATTAAATGTTGTATACGCTTGCAATGAGCCAGAGAACATGTTTTATATGGGAACAATTGCTACAACATCGAGACAAGTGGCAACAAGTGAACTAATATTGAACTAGACCGTGCAAAGTATATTTATATATCATTAAATTAGAGAGCCTTCCTCGTCTCGAATGTGTGCTTTATAATTTGTATTAGGGCACTATTTTTACAGCAAATAATCCGGTAGCCTCTTAAGGCAAATTTTCGTTTACATTTAGCAAATGGAAGTATTTCTTTCAATTAAATAATATAGAAATTTTGTTCCCGGGCTTAGATTGCAGCGTTTGTTACAAGATATCCATTTAGCCCTTGTTCTCGACGGGGGTGGTGGTCAATCCGTTTCGGGGCTTGTTCAACAATGTTTTAAACTGCTCCGGTATTGGGTGCTCCGCCTGATAAAAAAAAATCTATTATTTTACCTAAATTAATACAAAATTTCGTAAATTTGTCTCAAAACATTATGCATTCGTATCGTGTATCGTGTCAATACAATTGAACAATATCGTAAAAATATACAACTGTGTAGGGAAAGTTATTGAAAACTGGAAAATATAAGCAAACTTAAAGCTACTGCAAAATTTCTTCTAAATTACACTACGTAATAGATAGGCAAAGCTGGCTTCTAAAGGAAAGCATTACTATGCTTTCCTCTGTAGTATGTGGTCCTGTGTAGTGTGTCGTTAGCAATATCCAATTTCCGTCAATTACATATCGACGGAAACGTAAGTTATGCATACACACGTGACCTTATTATATAAAAAAATTGCACTGATAAATTGCGATTTTTTACGTAACACATCTGTGTCCTTTTAGAATTTAAATATTTAAAAAAGGTAGTAAATATAATAGTAGTTCACTAAATTGTGAAGTATGAGGTACAAGAAATGAAATGTATCAGCAACGAGAGTTTACGACATAGAATAACGGCAGACCATAAAATAAAAAATCTATGTTTTCATTTAAAATATATAAAATCAACTCACATAATCGCCATTTCCCTTGGGTACCAGCACGTTCATTTCCGAAGACTTGGAGCTGACGATTTCAACATCAAGTGACTCCGGTGACAGATAGATTTGGCATCCATCGGTCTTATCGATGGATATGGTTGGCACCTTACCCAACACCTGCGCAATAAAAAATATAGGTGAATATTATTATTATTACTACTATCACCTAATTATATTAAATATATTATTATTACACTTTGTTGAAAATCTACATGTAACTTGTAATGAAATAGAAATTAACAATAATATTGTAATACAATAAAGACCTACCAACATGTGGGTAAAGTTTCGACATATACAAACTTTTGAAGAAACTGTATTTTTTTATATAGGCTTATTATATTAGCCAAATGTATATAAGGATATAAGGGATTTTGTCACAAAAAAAACTATCTTCGATCGCAACGAAATCAATGTGTGAGAAAAAACCGATATCAATAACAAAGAGAAATATCAGCATAGGTACACGATTTTCTAAGATATCGCGTAAAATATACTGAAGGATTACGTCGAATGTACAAATCACTTCATTTTAAAGTCTATTGAAAACGACCACAACTATTGTAAGACATAGTTTTTCAGTATTCATATTATGATAACTGTTTTAATCATCGAGCACTCATAGCAGTGATTCGGCTTCAAAAGCATTCCGATACATGTTTTCGCTAACCATATGTTCCAAATACCGAGTATAATCCGAAGATTCTATTTTTTGATACGCGCCTACTGTTTCTATATTTACCTACTATAATATTAAAATAATAATTCAATCTGAGTATATTTACAGCCTTTTGTCGTAGGTATATGTACTCAGGATTTCGGTATGAGAAAAAGCTATTTGACACATTATTTTGTGTTGGTACCGTACCGTATTCTTTGCTACTGATATATATCAACCTGAGCTTATATTATTAATTACAGCCATAACTGCCCGTACCGATTAGTGTTTCATGTATATGATATAAGAAAAAAGTATCATTCGGAGTCTATGTTAGCGTAATAGAACCCTAAACCTAAATTTTTTTAATTCTAATTACCAAGTGTCTACTAATTACAGGTACATACTCGTAAATTAGAATTAAATATTATTTGAAAAAGAAGCTATTCCATCAATTTTCTTTATTCTTTCGTTTTCCAATAACAACATTTCGAACAGAAAATTTCAAAGATGGAACATAGGACATCAGTTTATACGTCAGACCAGATGTCGGCTGTCGGTATCCATATACAGAAGATTTTTCCAAACATATTATTTAGTTCATTGAAATGTGTAATAAGAATTGTTTTTCGTATGGTATATCTTTTTAAATGTTTATTTTAGTAGTTATTGTGACGTCGTTGTTGTTGGGATATCGACTTAAACGTATGGCGACCGTTGAAGACAACGTTGGTCCCGGCGAAGTATTGACTAATGGGGCGTGGGCCTTTAATCATGTCTACGAAGTAGCCTTGGAGCAATATGGAGTCCCTTTCATGAAAAGATGCATATGTTTTTTACACGAAATTTATTTGAAGCTTACTTTAGTTAACATGGTAAGGCAAATAAACATTTTTCTATGTAATTGGAATGAGAAACAACCTGGCGGCCTACCTGATGGTAAGTGGTAAATATCGCCTATAGACATGAACAATATTAAGGAAATCACGATATAATATAACAAATAAGGATATGGCGCCCATGAAACCGTTGCAATTCCGGACTAAGCTGAGATGAGTTACATGATGTATATAAGATAAATTGCATATGAAACCTATAAAAGACTATACACAAATATAATAAATGAAACACGGAACATGCGTAGCATTCTCGAATATTATAAAGGAAGCGAATATTTTACTTTAATGGCCTATTTAACATTTTTACATTACTAAGTCTTTGGTAGGTACCTAAATCATAATGTATTGGAGGTAGAAAATATTTAACGTAACAACGATGTTCTACAACATTTAATAAGTATATAAAATTATTTTTCATTTGTTTGAATATCAAACAAGTTGAGAGCCCACCTGATGTCAGGTAATAACTGTCTACATGTATACCAGGCAAGCACTACACACGTCCCAAAATACATCTGTTATCCTATTCCTGCAGACTAGGCTTTTGTATCCTCTAATTTCATTGCCTTTTGTCAAAACTTACAAAGCAAGCTGCTGACGGCAGAAGTAGGTTAAAGAGGTTTTGTATACAGTCAAACATTAAATATTCTTTCAAGACATTAATTATATGTGTTTTAAAAAAAAGCACCGCTCCTTTGATATACATTTTATTTTATGATACAAGATACCATTTAGAATGTATAAATGATTAAAGAAAATTATTACTACGCGAAATTCTACTAAAATATGTTATTCAACTACTTTTCTTAAATTCTCTCATACTACTGAGCATCATTTTTCTGCGTAAATAATTAAACGCGTATACAGGGCCACGAAATAACATCAGTGTTTAACAACCACTGCTAACTTACTTTTTCATTACGGTGTTCCGATACCTTCCTTTGAGATTTATCACATCATCATTTGATAAGGTCAGGTGGTACCTTTTGCATTCGGACTAGTCTTAATAGACAGCAAACGCTGTTGAATATCAATCTTTCTATATTTTGATTTGAAAACCAAACGACGGAATCAATTTTGACGAAACAAACGAATTTACTACGAAACCTATGAATTAAAAAAAATGTTATTTCCACTACTGATATAACTAATAATAAAAATATATATCGTGATAAAAAAACTCATTTCTTATTAGACAAGCGACTGAGACCTTTGTTACATAATGTATAGATATAAAAATCTGTTGAATTACAAATATACATTGTAATAAACGAAATGAGTGAACATTTTTGTTTGCCAACAATACAAAAGGTATTATAATATTTCATAGCTTAAATTTGAGAAATCATTTCCTTTACGACGTTACTTGAATGTTGTGACATTCGCTGAAATGTGATTAGCATTTCATTAATTATCTTGACTCTGGTCCTCAGAAGTCTCATCAAATTGCCCAATTTTGTTAAAATCACGCTTTTGTCGTTGATTAGGTCATGGGGCAATCGTCTCTTAAACTTTATACTTGGAGAATAATTATTTATTAATTGGATAAAACAAACTTTAAGAGGTAACTAATACATTAAGTTGATAAATAAGCTTTAACCTTAGTAGCCATAAATTTATAATGGATATTATTAATACTTCATTTTACAAAGCTTTCCAAATATCTATTGGTTTTACAGATCATATTCATTATTAAATATGTGCCAACTGGAATATATATGTATAAATTTATTAAAGGAATATATATAACTTCAAGAGAACGAATAAAACAGAAACAAATAGAACTGGAGGATATACAGCTACAGGTCAGTACAGTTCGGGTCGTAACATTAATATATTATAAAGATCCTCGTTCGTGAGCTCTATGTAACCTACGCTGTCTTTAATGTCTATATATATCGGGCATTACTATAACTCACTCTACCTACATTTCACCTACATACATAAAATATTAACTGTCTTATGTATAAAAACTAGCCGATTTGTTATTACAGAGGAACCTTTTGATATTTGAAATTATAAGCAGTGTTAATAATGTATTAAAATAATATTGATAGTGTTAAATAACTATGTCGTCGATTCAATGTTTGCAGCCTTAATCCCTGCATAATAGAAACTTCTGTATATTTAAACAAAGAGTATTTATGAATAATATTAATTATTAGCTTAATTCGATACTATGATGAATAAAAGGATATGCCCAGAAAATAATGCTTTGGTGTTTACACACATAAAAAAACGTATAATGAGTGTATTCAGCGAAATCTTTAATACTTTACCGATACAATCAGATACAAATAGTGAATACGAAATTGTGCGTGCGTGACTCGGAAATGACGGAGCGCGCAGACGAGTTACGGCGCGGTGTGGAACGTCTCAGGCAAGTGCGTGCACGCGTTCGCGGCGTGATCTCGTCAGATGACTCTCTACGCAGTACTCTCTACGCCGCACACTCGCAAGCTCACGCATACGCTGATACCACCTCCGAAGAAGGTAGCTACACCATCTTTATTGTTGGACTTAGGCCTTCGAAATAGACTGGTATAGAGAGATCTATTCACTTCTTGCAACATACTTGAGATCCTCCACCAAGATTTATCTTAAATTACCAAGATATTATTACGTGATTGTTATTTCGAAATTTTATTTATAAATTATTGCCATATTTACATGCATTGAAGATAGATTTATTTTTTGTGGCAACGATATTATATTTCAGAAAGGGAATTTCTAATGGAATTGCTGAAGGATCTGAAATACGACCAAGTGGCGATACCCGAGAAGCCGCTCGAGAATATGGAATGTGGGGAGCACGCTCTATCGGAAACGCACACGTCTGAGAACAGCATCTACACATCGGCAAGCGACGCTGATATCAAACAGGATTGTCACGTTAAGATCGTAAGGGTCACGAATGTATACAAAGTGGCATATTTGAAGCACTACATTAAACAGAAAAGATTGCGGCGCGCAACAAAACAGGTGTTGCTAAAGAAAAAGGTAAGATTTGTAATTTCTTCTTGCGGTTATCTTACCGCTCCGGCATGAGTCACCCAGATTGATAGATCTATACCATACATTATTTACCATATTTTTTATTTTTTTATTATTTCCCATTTATCAAGAATGCATCCTTTATATAGTAGTACAATTTATCCAATATATCCAGTAGTCATGTAAACCATCGTCCACGTACACAAAATCAGATTTTATTGCAGAGAATACGATAACATGTCTAATGATAATTCTCTTTTTTTATTACAAGCTTTTCCCTAAATTGTTCGTACCTCTCCTTTTTAATTTTTTTTTATTCTTAAACCGTTTTACAATAACTTGCTATTACGTATCTGCTTATCTAAATCATTCATTTTCCATATATAATTCACTGGAATACTATTATTTAGAACAAGCATATAATTCTGAGATAGAGAGTTCTCTATATAGAAACCGTATGATAAGATATGTTTAGATATTCCAGCTGCTATTAGATCGAATTAAAAGAGAGCAATTTTTTTTAGATGGAGAGCATAAAAAAGCTAATGGAATATTGGCAAAAGATGCTGAATATGGTGATCAACACGAAATTAACGGTACTGAATCTGGAATCTCAAGTTGACGTCGCGTCACAAGAGGCTATGGGAGACTATTCCAAGCCCAATTTAAGAGAATCCTCAGGTTCTGACAGCGATTTAAAAAATGGAACAGAAACGTACAATGACGAATACGGCCTCAGTTGGACTCAAAATCCTTATCGAAACTATACATATAATTATGAGGTAAATAGATTACCAGTTTCCTTAAGCAATCGATAATAAATATGTTATGCAATGCCGACGGAAAATTAATATATTTATTTTGAAGACTCTCTCTCATCGTTTCTTTGCTTAACATATCGACTATTTCAGGACATTCCAGAAACTGTTGTATCCCGAGACTGTTACGACACACAAGAGTTTGCTACTGGATCAACGAATCCATTATGTGATTATCCAACATCAACTAAACTATGTACTCTAATGGAAGAAACTACAAGTCAAATGGCTATAGACGAAATAAAAAGTGAGGTGGGCGAAGATGGTATCTGCCAGGAGTTCGACATATAATTTATATTACTGATTTATTATTTTGTTTACCATTAATAATAGAGATCCAGAATAAATTATACATCGATCGAATTATACATCGAGCAACATATTCTATTTATATAGGATTAGATGCATAGAAACCAATCGAAATGCTGATCCGACACCAAGAGATTGTATTCATAAAGCTATCTATACAAACTATGCTAGAATCCTTTTACAATTGTTTACTTTCATGAATTGTACGGGCTCTTCTGTTATATTTGACAACAGAAGAGTAAATGACATGAATAATCCGTGTACTCATCTGGTTTAATTAATTCGAGGCTGGAAGATCCGTATAATCAAAATGTGACTCACCTGCATCTGCACAGACTGGCAGTTGACGAACTCGACGCTGGCGACGAGGTTATCGAACACGACTGAGCACTTGGTGCACGAGTCGAGTACGACGCCGTTGATCTTGCCGCGGACGGTGAGCGCGGAGTCGCGGCAACGGAACATGTACACCACGTTGTTCATGTCCGCATTCTCTACCACCAAATTGGAGTTGCCTTTTTGATATTCCTGTGAAAATAAATATGTATACACTATCTTGTTTTTTGTTTGTTCAATGTCTAATCTTTTTCATACACAATTAGATGGATCATATTATTTAAAGTAATAAAACCAGCATTGATAACTCGAAATTCGCAAATTCGGGATTTGAATAAACCCCACTGCAACATTGTGATTGTTAAGGAGCAAAGAATGTATTTGAATGTCAGTTACTCAATGACTCGTAAATATTATGATATGATTAATTTAGTACAGAGAAAGACTGCATAATAAGACAGACGTCGTTTACAGCAAGCAGCAACAAAACGCAATGCCAATGAAGCATTGTGATTGGACACACCCATCCATTTGAATTTTTTGTATAACGTACAACTTTCAAAATTGAATTCGATTGAGGTAAACGTTTTTGTTCACACATTAAAATTTGTAATTTACCTAATAAATACAAAATTGTAATCTATCATTCCTGCTCCCTGTAATCTGCTGAAGCCACACATACAAATCATCACATACCAATAGGAAACATTTACGCTAACTTATTTAAATAAATTTATTGGCGTTACTAATATTATATTCAAATTCAAACTAATATTATTTATCATTACTCTGTTACATTGTGAATTTAATTACTCATATCATTGTACTCATATTTACATGTTTAAAAAAGAAACCCCCAAGGCAAACTACATGAAGAGGATGGACTTACTACTCTATAATTGTGGGCTTGGTCCAGTCTAGTGATATTGCCTGCGTTATTGCAGTTATAGTGTTATTGCGACCCCTGATACGTTAAACGATATAATTGCATTGGACAATAGAAATTCTTCCCACTATAATACCGTCACGACTCACAACTTCAAACACATACATTAGTCTAGTGATGTCCAATTTCATTTTATATTATAAAACACCAGATATCCAGTTCATCTTTTTTATTTGTAAATAAAAAAAGGTGGAATAATGTGTAGTAAAGTACTGTGTAGTAAAGCAATAAATCGACAATTTGTCGATTATTTACTTAAATACAGTATCTTTTACCATGCGTTTTTTAATGTAGAAAATCAATGATAATTATATCATCCCTACACATATCACTCTAGCTACATCTAGTTACAACGTAAGTAAGGAATATACTAGATGCTAAATACATAGCCTTAGCCATTAATACTTGGGAAAAACAATAAACATTTACATTTCTTTGCTTACTCACATATGTTTTAAAAAGGTTGGGAAACATTGGGTTAGATATTTGATAGATAGAGGTTCTGTACATCCAAACACTTACAATGAGCCACTTCTTGCCGTCTCTATTGAATACTGGAGGCTTGTCCGGGAAGGAGCCGGCTCCGGGCTGCGGCAGAGACTTGGCGGGCGCGGCGGGCCGCGAGCCGGCCGCCGCCTTGAACGGGGCCGGGCCCTGCCGCAGCTGAGGGTTCTTATGGGTCTGCATATCTGATGTCACTTTACGTAGACCTAACACAAAATAAACACATTCATCATTGAATATAACTTTACATTTGTTTTTTATATGTATTTTTGATACTACTGTATCGAGCAGTGAGTACAAAATCGTCTAAAAAAAGAATTTCCAATAAGAAGTATACGTTTTATATAAAAATAAAATAATAATATAGATACATTAACAAAAATATTAAATTTTTTTGGATAGTTATATAATAACTATCAAAACATTTCACCATGTTATTTGAGTTAAAAGAGATTAATTTCTTCTGTCTCAATTGTATCAGTAGGATTTGAATTTTATTTTGAAACGTGTCGAAAATTACATTCCATTACGTAATAAGAAGAGACCTTAAAAATCATAATATTTGACCTATTTCGTTTAAAATGAATGAACGCTTTTAACTAGTTCAAACTATTCCAGGTTCGGCTTTCAAACTAGTATAAAGGAGCAAGGAGCTTATAGATGTTATATATAGCTTACAGTGGTCTTTAGTGTAAATAAACATTTGAAATATAACAAAAGGGCTATTGTGCCATTTAAACAAAGGTCCTAATTAATTAATGCCTTTGTCCTCTGATCTTCATCTTAGAAACCTGTTTTATGAAATTTTCTGTAGGTATGTCACAAACGTACCCATTATATTTCTGTGTACTTGGAGTAAAAAACAAAACATTCATTTAAACTTTAACTAATAAAGATTTTTTGACAAGTAACCATTATCACACGTAGGTAGGAATACAATATACAGATGATTTTATGACACGGTACTAGTATAATGATGTTAATTTACACTTGGCAAATTATTAGCAATTTTAAATGGAACATTGATACAGATTTTTTTTATTGGTGAAGAAGGAACTATTATAAAATATACTATAATATTAAGTCCACATTTTGTACCATAATTGTCAATAAAGCAAATAAGAAATATATATTTTGCAATTTTGTAACCTAACCACTCTATCATTTAAAGCTGAAAGCTATATCAAGGTTCACTTGAAGTTTTGTGCATATCTTGTCTTATTTAAAACTATTTGTACAATAATATTGTGTATAATACAGTATATAAAAAATAAATAAAATTTACATCTAACTCAATATACAATACTTAGAAAATAAAAAAAATAAGCAATAATATGTTCAGCTTAACATACTGCTAGTGATGCCCTCGCCCTGGTTGATCTCAGCGAAGAGAGCGCTCCTATCATCGATAGAAAGATTGGAGAAGTCAACGTCGGGCAGCACCGGCGGCGGCGGTGGCAGACCTCCCGGAGGTGGGGGCGGGGGTGCTCCCGCTCCCTTGCCTGCACCAAACACGTATATAGATAGGCAGAGATACATCGACATATATACTAAAACGCAAGATGCACTATTAAAAACTAAAAAACAACATTGAAAATGACCACCAAACCAATATTCTACACTTATGTGTGGCTAGGAATATAAATTTTCTTTTTAATGAGACACTAAATGGAAACGTGCATCTCGGTTTTCTATATCAATGTAGAAAAGCGTTTATTTTACATTACAGTTATACAGTCACACGCTCAATTTATTCATTGTTAAATAATATACAAGAAAATAATTGCTAGTGCGAATTGTGCCTAAAAAGCTAATAGTGATTTTTAGTTATAGATGCAAGGGAACGTAGACTTAATACGAATATGTATAAAGAAGAGAAGCTGTATTTATCATACATAAAACTGATGTCGCTGTTTTAGCCTCAAAGCGAAACGGATAAAACACCTTTAGCGATATGTCAGCATTTCCAAGGATAAATTACCTCCATTCAGGGATAAATATGTAGCTTCGTTCAATGACTTTACTTTTTTTTTGTTGTTCGTTTGGAGTAAACGAGGTTCATGTATACACTCTAAAAATAATTCTGTAAACAATTATTATTATTTATTTATGCAACAATGAAAACAAAGTTGCATAAATAAATAAAAGGAACAAATATAAAGAAAGTTTAACTGTACCTAAAGATTGGCGTGAATGATATTTTATTAATTTGGGCAACTCCCTACAAGTTTTTGCATAATAAGTGGGTACAAGTATAACATATAAAGTATAATATAAGTATAACTGTTATATTTACAGAGTAACTGGGCTAACCACGAATGTAAATATTAAATACATTTATATTGTAAGTCCCACCGTTGACTTTACTTTGCAAGCAAAACTTTCCGAACCCGAGTTTCTGGTAACCACTTCCCTTTCAATTTTCGCCCTCAAAAAAGTGCGCTTTTAAACTTTTTGCATGCCTGCTTTATGAAAACATACAAATATCAAAGCTGTGATATTTGTATTATTATTCTAATAAATTAAGTTTTCATAATTTATTAGAATAATAATTATGAACCTGAGTATGAAGTATGCTACTTTTTCTTTTGCTCAAAAGCAAGTATATTTTCAGGTAATTTACTGGGAAACTGATACATAAAATTCTTCTTATTTTTGATAAATTAAAATATGAAAATATATCACGTTTTGTGAATTATATTTTTGGTTTGACGGTTTGTAATCACATATATAACACTGGCGGACCGGCCGGCGTTATACCGCCACTAAATTGTTACACATGATAATATGTATATTATAATTACCTCGCAAATTAAAGTAAACAATATGAAATTAATGGTGTGAGCAAATTCATGAATAAATTCTTATATATTACGATAACAACTTAAACTGTTAACCTCACCGCTCATCTCTAAAACATCTTTATGGAGCAATAATTAGTAAATATTTTTATCGCATTTATGTCAGTACAACAACCCGTCCTCAGTAAAACACGGTGTCACTCAACAAAACGTTTCTCTGACATAATAAGAAAATTAAAATGAAGCGGAAGCTATTTATCTGATTTAATTATATATATTAAATATGCTTCCTTTATAATTTAAACCCGTCCTCAAGGCATCTAGTAACGGAGAGAACCACAATAAATTAATCAAGAGATTTCAAAACGCTTACGGTATGTATGTACACAGAAAAAACGAAGCTGCCGGCGAATTGTACTATTTACATTACAGAAACAATATGACTTACTTTTTCAAAGATATTTTTTTTTGTAAAATTATATAATTGCCGGTTAAGTATGCTGAACAAGTGAACATTGTTCAGAGACCAATGTACACATAAGTTTCTACGAGCTTAACAATACCAATACATAAAACTTTTAGATACACTTCGTCGGCTTCTAACAACGGTATAATTAGCTATGTACTCGTACCTAACTCCAATAATGCGTAACATGGACTAACTTGTGTTTTTTTCACCTGTTTAACGATTAAAATAAATATTGTACAGATTTATTTACAACAGTGGCACTGTGAAGAAAAAATGTGTTTTCAAGTAGATAATAAACAACTGAAATATAAGAAACATACGTTATGCGGTACATTTCTAAGTAATGCAAGATAATTTAATATGCACATTTATATATATTAAAATTAAACATCAACTTTTAATGTTACATCAAAACACCATATTACTGCCTGGGAAAATGCTTGATCCGTTGTACCCTATAAAATGTACGTACATTATCCTACTCTTGCCATACTTCACCGTTGTCTATAAGAGATTATTTCTGTATCTAGTTCAATAAAGTATATAAATACAATAGAAATAAATTATTCTACCACAACCATATACATTATGTACAAGAGGGTTAAATATTTTTTTCTGATAATCAATAAAATACGTTAACACCAAATCTCCCAATGTATATTCACCAAAGCAAGTAAACTGATACTTACGAGTTGTTCATTCATCAACTATCGCCGAGCCGTATATTTCTGATATTACCCCATAAATACATATTTCAATACTCTACTCGGACCACTTTCCTTTTCGTTCATTCAGTAAATTGTTTGCGCACCCACTTTTCATTGATCATATACGGCATCCTATATGTTGATTTTGTGCTGAATAAACTATGGTCCGGCCTAGTTCCCAGGTGAGTTAATTTGCTGTTTAAATATTCACGAATTTGCATAACACTAATGAACAAATGTTTTCGTGTCAAGGGGATAGGTTAAGGGTGGGTTCTCAGTTCTACATAATATATTAGATTTTTCAAATGACTTCAGTAAAGAGGCAGTTGATTATTTAATCTTATATTGGATTAACCTGTACCGATTGCAAATAATATAATGAAAACTGATTTCGTATTATACACGCATAAAAAACTCTATTTAAAAAATATATAATAACTTACCAGACCACACAAGGCCGGTCGTATGGTATTGCTTTACGTATGCCTGCAAGTCAGACAACAGCTGAACCCAAGTGCGGCACCACTCCGCGTGTCTCTTGTCCTTCTCCTTCCACTCCTTAAGCACGCGGTTGGTGTAGAACTGGCCAGCATCGTTCATCTCTTTTACATAAGGAGCCGGGGTCGGAGCCACCGCCACCCAACCGAGGGCGGGTATACTCTCCGAAATAGCAGACAGATGGTTAAAGAACGGCGAAGCACGGTTCTTTTCTCGAAATTGCTGAATAGCTGAGATCTGTTCGCTAGTAGGTGCTAACAGTTGCATCTCCTCAGATTGGGATGGCTTACTGCGACTAGTCGCTTGCTGAATATAGCGGAGTTGTGCCCTGTTACAAAGGAAGTCGGTATTATATATTATACTTGTGGAGCGATCAAACACTTTTTTAAGCCGAACAATAGTTTCTGCACCCTAGCGATCTTTTCGCGATTCAGGATATGTTAATATTGCAGTCTAACAATAGTCAGTAAACAAACAGCGGAAATGAACTAGCTACCGTTCCGGTAAAGGCATGGTAGACACGGTTGATTTACTTTTTATGGTATGAATACAACAACTCAGATTGTTTTATTGTTGTTTTGCATTTAATATTTTAGTACATGTACCAATTTATAATAAATAAATAAAATAAATCTGTGGTTTAGTATTAAGTGGTAACAATCGGCTAGAGACATAAAGTTGTTATACTTGAGTTGCTGATAACAACAACGAAATCTATAAAGGTTAGTACATATTGACGGCCTTGGTGGTCTAGCGGTTTAACACACCGCCTTACTTCCGATGGTTGCGGGTTCGATTCCTCGCACGGCACAAACATTTGTATTCATGAGTATGATTGTTTATATCGGTCTGGGTGTTTTCTATATATAATATGTATGTATATACCAAAAATTGTCCTGATATTATTATTATATATTTAAATGATATATTTTTTAACAATTCTTTCATTGATGGTACAGCTGTTATAGCACACGCACACTGTTTTACTCTCCAAAAGTTGCGTGTTCGATTTCAACACAATACCAAATTTGTATTCATGAGTATGTCTATCCTTTATCAAGTACAGTCTATTTTTAGCCGTGTGAAATATAAAAATAATGGATGAAATTACTTACTGAAAGGCAGCATTGACAAGGTTCGCGTGCGTGGCAACATCTCCCCCAATCTGCTGAGAGAGCTCGATGTATGTGCGCAGTGGACCCTATATGAAAAACAAAAAGTTATAGATTATATAAATTACAAAAGCTGGAAACACTCCTTTAATATACTTTTATACAAAACCAGCGGTGGACGTGGTTTTACCGCGTGAAATTTATAGCCTATGTATTATTCTGATGTATAAGCTATATTATTGCAAAGTTTTTAAAATCCATTCTATGGTTTTTGCGTGAAAATGTAACAAACATACATACCACTATACATTCAATCTCACAAACTTCTAGTTTTATAATATTACAGTATGACTATTTATTTAAAAATAGTCTTAACGGAGTTTACTTACTGCATTTAAGCACTTAAAATTTTTAATATTTCATTTATCAAGCAAATATGAATAATAACGGCTCAAGAGTGGTACTCTCTCTCTCCAACCTCTATTCCAATAGCTATATTCTAAATTTCTTGATAGTAGGTGGTCGATCCCGTCGTAATACAAACATTTGTATTCATAAATTAATTTGTATAGTTTGAATATATTTCTGAGTATATTATAAATGACAAAAACATTATTAAGCATGTATATGTTATACATTTATAATATTAATGTATATGTTATAAATGTAATAATGTTTTTGTATTATATGGTAGGTCATTACTTTGAGAATAGATGTCATTACAAGAATTGCCAATCGTTATTTCTTTTCTATCGACAGTAAATATTTATAGTTACGCATTACATAAGTTGTATTTGTTATTCTCTATTTCGTATATTCGTTATTCTTACGTTAGTCTCGGCAGTTGAAGCGAAAAGATCGAAGTCGTTTCGTGGAATGATAGATGAAGCTATGCGAAGTATTATAAATGCCAGTTTCGATCTCGGAATCGTCCATGCAAATTAGTTACAATGTAGGTAATCTCAGTAATTTCAGTCACCTATCAATTGTTACAAATATACATCTATAACAATAATTGCTTAGAAATGAAAATCATCACTATATAGTATAAAATAAAGTCGCTGCCGCTGTCAGTCCCTATATAAGCTTAAAACTTTAAAACTACGCAACGGATTTTGAAGTGGTTTTTTTTTTATAAGTAGATAGAGTGATTCTTGAGGAAGGTTTACATATATAATACATGTACACACGTGCGATGCCGGGGCGAGTAGCTAGTAAATAATATTACAAATATTATTATGTGTGAACTCACATCACCAAATAGCAAGATATTATAAAAAAAATATATTAAGGAACTAAGTAGGTACAATTAAAGTTAATTAAGACATCAACACGATTCATCAAACTTACTTTTGTATAAATATAAAAAAAATGTTTACGAAAATGTCGAAGGTGCTATCACTAAATGTATTTCAGTCTTTATTTACTCATTTACAGTTACTGCACTTCGCTTTTGGAATAAATTACTTGTAAACCTATGTAGAGCACCGAGTAAGCCACTTTATAAAGAGAAACTATTTATTTACTTATCGAGTCATCAGATTTAGCTTTAACTATTGTACATTGTGTTAATTTATTTAGATAAATATTTTAAATAAAATATTTATCTAATATGTATAAAATATCTTATATATGTATATTTATTTTACATTATATTTATTTCTTGTGTAGTTATTTATGTATATTTGTAATATTGTTCGTTGTCACAGTTCTTGCTATAATTACACCACGCGGTTAAAGATTATACCTAAAAGGAGAGACATACGGCATTAAGCTCGACTTTTGTAGAATATTTATTGATCAATAAAGAATAAATAAAAAAAATTAAACAAACATATATTCTATAGCACTTTGTGGTAACAATTACAGTATTCACATTAGTACACACAGAAGTACTAAACAAATTTGGATAAATTAATCTATTATTAAAAATACACACATTTATCTTTTTAGTTAAGTTTTATTTATCTCTGCAGATAATATGGCTACTTAAAAATATATATAAACCTTTGAAAATTTTATATGTATTTGAGATAATTTAGATTAGTAAATACTATTTAAAGTACTGAAAATTAAAATTAAAATAGACCTACAATATAGAATAATGAAACGTTTTAACTCGGGCCATTTACGTATTATAATTAAGACTTGTAATCTGAGTTCAAAGATTCAAACTCCCACCACGCCTCGCAATTATAATCTAATTGTAGTAATTTATAGAATTCGTGTAACATTACGGTAATGAAATTAAGAAAAAAGTAACCTTTGATTTATGTAAATAGATCAGATTTTCAAAGGTCAAAATTTGGTAAACGATGTTTTTAAAAATAATATAGAATATTAGAAATAAATGAACGCAATGATGTGTCTTCTAATTCGTGTTCAGTCACTCAAACATTTTTCTTTCTCAGGCTTGTTGTACTGTGAACATTATTTTTTCGAATCACGTTTCGATATACATGTCTAATCAGCTTCAGCTGAGCGTGAATACAATAAAATAAAAGTTTTGAGAAATGTAGTAAAAATATACATATAAATATATCTTTATACAACCGCATGCAAGCTTTGAAGGCAGCGTTCCGATTTGAAAGGCGATAATTGGTATTACAGTTTCTAAAGGCATAACCCTTTGTTCAAAAGAATGGCAATGATTAATAAAATGATTGAGCGTCAAAATGTATTTGTATTATAATTTTATATTCATATCTATTTAGTCCATTAAAAACTTGAAAACTTGAAAAATGAAATGCTCAAGAAAGAAGAAACACCCAATAAAAATAATTATTTTAGAAATTACTTATTACTTTTAAACATAATTATTCCCTATTCAACTACAGATTATAATAATTTATTTGATGAATAAAATAATAAGGAACATCTCTTTAACAAAAAAACATTAATATATGTATGTAATTTTACGAGTTTAGGGAGAGAGAATTTAAATTGTATAAAACATTTGAATTTGTTTAAGTAACGGTAGAGAGAAAAAAAATTACAATAATAAGTCAAGAGATCTTAGATGGTTTGCTCTACAAATAGATTTTGTTTAACCTTTCCTCTGAAATAAATATTTAAACTGAGTACAATGATCAAAAAGATTGCCTTTCTTATTAAAAATTTAAGAGTATCCACTCACAAAGGATTAACGGAAAGCATTTCGTGAAATATTACGCATTTCTCACCGACATCAAAGGAAGTGGTCAATTGCGCTTGACAGATAAAAAGGTATTAACCATTAATTGAAGGCATTTTTATGTCAGGAAAACTCGTAGTAACCAGTGGAAGCAATTTCCAGAGGAAAATGTAAATTTCCTAAAATACTTTTAGAAGCCCAATTCTCAAACTTACTACAGACTTACATTAATATAAAGTATTTTTACTTTATGATATTAAATAACTTTTATACTTGTTTATATTACAAATAAATCGAATTCTTAAAAGAGCTAATCAGGTAAATAATTAGAGATTCAATAATCTCTGTAACGATTTCTGTACAAAATTACTGAATATATATTTTAAAACTATTTGATTTGGTATTTTATCACGAATCATATATGTATGTACTTTAATTATAGACACAACAGCCGGCTATCCTTCCAATCTTTCATTTAAAAAACTACAAACTGCAACTCACGCCTGTATCACATAATTACAAAATAACGCAATTTCTCTACCATAATGGTCTATGTATTACTACTTATATCTATATACTACACATAAACTAATACACTATACACATAAATTTTCCTCATAATTCGTTCTTTTGATGGATGAGAACCGCTATGAAAATCCATAGTATTGAAGATATCGCAAACGTACTAAAGGGGAGCCGGAGGACTTTGTTTTATATATGTAATAAATAAACAGTTAATACCTGCAAGATATCTTGATATCCGTTGACGCTCATATTATCGGAGGGTGGTAGTTGCTCGGAAAATATCTGTGGTGCTGGCGAGTTGGGCAGCGAAGCCGGGGAGGGTGCCGGCGAGCGTGGCGGCGTGGGACTGCGTGCGCGCACCGCAAGTTGCTCCAACCGTGACGTCACGCGCTCCAAGCGCTCGATCAGAGTCTCGAAGTCCGCCGCCGATCTTTGGTTCACTGCTGCGGGCTCTGCTTCAGTGTCTACGACATAATACATTATTTTAATTGATTTACTAACATTTTCATGGTATTTTTATCGATCATACCTTTTTATCGTTTCAAAGCGGAAATAAAAGTTAATTGCAACAATTATTTGTTTTTATTCATTGGTTTATGTCTTTTTAGGGGCCGTGCAAGTATTATGTAAGTAGATTTATTACAATTATTTACCCCCTTATTTCCCTTGTCAACAAAAGTAAGCAAAGCTCTTACCCAATACCTCCATGCTTACGTAAACATTTTTGTATTGTGTAACAAGTAATGTATTGTGTTTTTAATATTATAATTATAATTTTAAAAATAAGAAAATATATTTCATTTACAGATTAGTATACCTAGGATAGATTTTACTGATACGGTATTCAACATTAAACTTTGGCTAATGGAATCAATGGTAACACAAATGTTAACTTGTTTTGCTATGTTTACAATACGTCTAGTCGCTATAGTACCCAAACGCTACGCTACGCTCCGCTATGACATGCGGGGCATGTCATCCAATATAGGCAAAGCAAAGACCCCCCCCCCCCCGTGAAGCAGTCTTTTAATACTTTATTCGATTTTTAATGTTTTAATATAAGTAACGCGCAGTAAACTAATTAACAGCAATCGTTGTAGTAATATTCAGAAAAGACGAATATTTTATATTAAAAACAAAAAATAAAATCGATATAAAAGGTAACATTACTAGTTATTATTAATATATTTCAATATTACGGCACTTTCTTTTTTAATTATTGAATTATTATTCATAGTTAACGCAACTTCCATATTTTACCGCCGTTATTTTACATCATTAGTTATTTATAAGATAAATGCTAGTTAACGCACTGTTGACGCTAACGACGCGTTTATTAATTAAACTATTTTACGATAAATTCTTACAATATTTGAGCATAATCATGAAATAATTATTTACATCATCAAACATTCATTAATTTGATCAAACCATGTCATCATAAAGCATGCTTAATCTATCTATACATATAAATGAAATTGAAGTGTCTGTTTGTAACATCGAAATAGCCGTTTTTACTATATGCACATGATTATAAATACGGTACATACACCAAAATATTTTTTTTACAATTTTTGTCTGTCTGTTATTTCTGGCTAATGGCGGGACTTTTATTGGCATATAGCTGATATAATAAGGAGTAACTTAGGCTACTATTATTTTAGAAAATAAAGTTCCACGCGGACGAAGTTGCTGGAACAACTAGTAATAAATAACATTGAAAAAAAAACATATACTTTAAAGTATTAACTTCTTTTTGAACATATAGTAATGTTAAAAAAGAGTTGAATGTCATTCAATATACAATTTTATAATGACTATTATCACAAGATTTCGCATGTGCATGCACTTTCAACCAAAGTACACGTTATACTTAGTCGTTTTCGTGGGTACGCAACACTCACCTATTTCAGCTGCCAAGTAGCTTGATTTGTATAGCTGTGTTTCGGTTGAAAGGAGAAACATAGCAATGAAATTATAACACGATGATATAATAGAAGAATGTGATGTCTGTAGTGCTTATATATACAGGAAACAGTTTCAGGCTGTTACTTTGTTTGCTCTACAACTGCATACAATTTGCGTATCAAATCGTTATTTCAGTTAGGAACCGTTAGTAATTGAGTACAATTCATTAGACATAATTTCAAAAGTTCATAAAAATAACATTACAATGCAATTTATGAATAGGTACTTGCGTCGTCTATCTCTCTGTGGATATTTGGCATGAGCTCTATAACTTCTATAATAACTTCGAAAGTGATATAACCTCCAACAAGCATATTTCATTCGGTTGAAAAATGTGCTGCCTCCGGCACTGGAAGGCTGATATTATTTATTTTTGATACTTTATTCTTTTTTATTTTTTCTAATATAGGTATGGATAAACGTAATAAACTAAATAGATATGTTCAATCAAGTTAAAAAATAAAGAAGGTTAATCAGTATGTAGGACTATATTGTGTGTATGTTATGCAATATATTCTATATATAATAATAACTGTCTGTGCTTAGAAGATATGTATACGACAAAAAACTATTCGGTTACTTTATCAACGTAATACAACCCAAAACAATGATTGTATACTTTTTTGTACGTTTGTCTGTGCGTTTGTACCTACAACCTAATCTTGTAAACGCCTTAACCTATTTAAGTGCGATTATCACTAGACGTATTATGGTAAGAATATCTCAAAAATATGTGTTTGTATTATTCTAATATGTTTACTTTGACATAGTTTAGTAGCTACAGTCCCGACCTTTGACAGTTGTTTAGTTAAATACTTATATATGAATTTCGTAAATTATTGACTTTTTACGTCAACGAGGCAAAGGTTTCAAAAATTTTAATATAATTCCTCATGTGTTTTTATACGACATGTATGAATCATTGTTAATGTTAATCGCACACCTACCGATAATATTCGTTATTTCACTTTTTTCTAAGACATTCACTAAATCTTCATTTATGACACCTGTATCACTAATTTCTTCTTCTGGTAAAACTTCACCATCCTCGTTTTCACCTTCAGACAATGTATTCTCTACCACCTGGTCTTCATTTATGGAAGAGATATCTTCGTTTTCAGTAGTTTCAACTTCATCGTTCTCTTCAATATTGGCACGTTTCTCAAACATTTTTATAAGGGAACGCGCATTCGGTACACCATTTTCCTCATCCATTATTATTCAATTAAATTTCACTGTATTTTTGTACTGTAGTTACTGTAAACTATTACTTTACTATACTGACAAGTTATTATCAAGTGAGTCAGTCGCCACAGATAATAACGAAATGATAAGTCAAGACTGCAGATTCTAGGTGCCTAATAACAGTATGATAAATTGATAGATAACGTGAAACAATTGTTATTCATGTACTATATCGTCTGTATTTGAACAACAAATCATTTATATAAATAAAAATGTTTGAATGTTAGTTATTAAGCATTTCTAAATAATTCATATGTTTGTAATGAAACTCCAGTGATTCGAAGAAACTGACAGTCCCCTCACATATTGAATTAAATTGCATTATTACATATGTAAGTTTCTTTGTAACTGTTGGAATTATGTAAGTTTGGATATTAAAATTAATAATAATTATTAATTCAAAATTCATTTAAGTGTAAAATAAAAGTGCATTTATTTTTTTTATTCCTCTTGGCGATTTATGGATTTAACCAATAGAATAATATGTCAATAGAATTGACATATTACATTGAATATTTGCCACGGAGAAAGAAAACTATTTTTTTTCCCGATTAATGAATATGAATGAATGAATATTATAGGCAAGCTTAGAAACAAAACCAACTCAGTTGCGGATTTGTTTTGTTTCTGCCTTTGACAGGAAAGCCTTTGTTTGTCCTCGTGATAAAATCTATTTCAACCGAATATCATCATGCATTAAGATCCTTTTAACTGTTTAGGCGTGTAAAGGTAACATAAGACAGAAATTTTCACATAAATAATATTAGTATACACATAAATATACATCTACAGAGTACTATACATACATATATTTAGAATATAATATTGTTTAAAACAAACATGTTCCCGAAGTAATTGTCTTTGTAATTCTGAAACTATTATTACCACACAAAATATTCTAAACCCATTTCACCGCTGGATTTCACAAAGTAATATATGGTGACACTCTTGACATATTGCGTAGACAATAAATAGCTAGGTAATCGCGCGACGCTACCCGCGTTGAACACATGTTATGTTACTCGCTGATAATGTAGCTACTCATATGAAGTGGTAAAATAATCTTTAAAAAGATTTAAGAATTTTTTGAGTGGTTCGTAAACATATACAAAATCTTTCCTTTTCATAATATTATATAGTATACATTACATATTATATTATTCGTACAACCACCAACATGTCTGTATAATTTTGGTGTGAGGAGTAGAGATTACAAAAATCTTTGATGGTAAATGTAATTAATACGTATAATATTGACTCTATTGATATACCATTATGTGCTTATAGATAAGTATTATAATCTGTTTCTTTATATCACTGTAACGTACATTAGTTTAATCTATTATATTTGAATCATGAGCAAAATTTATTTAGTAATATGTACGTGAAGATTTTATTAATTATCATAGGATAAATGTAATTTTATTAGACTAGTAATATTACTACACCATTATCGTCATAAAATAAATAAATAAAAATAGGTTTCTACTGTTAATCTATGGACATCGATCTTTGTACCTGACCAAAGACGGTTATACTCAATCTATCTCCTCGCTAATTGACGAAAGTCAGTCAGATGTGGCCAATTAATCTCGTATTTGAGCCTAGAGAGAATACAGAGTATAGTAGAAATGATCAGTACGTGGTATTATGTAATTTATACATTACACTACAACCTTATACGACTTGTAATGGCAAAGACACCAGATGGTCCACGAGAAGATAAATGGTAGCTTGTAGTCGTAAATAATAGCTATAAAAAGCGGAACCATTATAACAGATGATAAATAAAATGCAAATTGACAAAAAACACCATATACCGTATTATTTAATTGGAAAATATTATTACATAATTTTCGAAATCGGAAACACTGCCCAAGAATGCCTATATCAATGATGATGTAGAATGTAACATAATGACGAATTTTATATCATAATCGTTTCACACTAATGTTTTCGTGAGCATATTTATCGTCCAGTGACATTGGCCTATATGGCTATTCGCCAGAGGTATCAGAAAAAAATAAATTCTCTTTTTTTTATTTTTAGTAATTAATTATATATTAATGAAATTGTATAGCTCCCAATATACTTAAGAATCAGAGGCATTAGTCAACTTTTGTTGTTGACATTCTCACGTTCAAGAGACGACATTTGGCTGTTATACCTCAAATTCTCAGTTTATTATCGGTGTTTCCATCACTGCAGAATATCATCAGTCAAAAATATAAATTGTGCCAAAAACTT